TCCATCAAAGAATGGAAAAGCTCAGACAAATATTCTTACCAGTTAATCTGAATAAAACCACTCCAGTTGAACTCTAGATAGAGCATACACACAGACTTAGCTATACAACTCCTGGCATTGTCTCAAACACAGTTAGGACAAACCTGATGGTGAGTTGCCGTCTATTGCCTGATGTATACTCAAAATTCTAATCTTTAGTGGTCTAACCTCAGCGTCCCTGCCACTTCTGCGGGAACGGAAGATGCACCTCCCGCCTGGGCAGTTTGGAGACTGCCAATCATCACAAGTTACATAAATTTCTGGCCGTTTTCACCGGCGCAGCTCTCTCCTGCTCCACTGCTTCTGGATTCGGACCCCACAGGCCAGAGTCGTCCAGTTGTGGACAACTGATCATCATATTAGGCCCACAGTAGCACCTGGACACCCAAACTGTAAATTTGTAACATTTTTAAACTGTAATTGAGTTTAGATTGTTTATCTTTTTTTTTCTTTGTTCTTTGCATGTGTGTGTGTGTGTGTGTGATTTTGTGTTTTTTTGTTTGGCTTTTGGCAATTAACCATGATTAATCAATGTTCCTAACTTAAAAATGTTTTAAATGAAAATAAAATTTTGTACTTTTGTAGTCATGTTTTGGGTTTTGTACTTTTTATTATAAATGGTGCAAGTTACACTTATTTACAAAATAGCAATCAGACAAGAAATATAGGTACAGTTACCGATACAATATTGTTATCTGGTCCATATTAAACTACTTACACAATTTTGATACAACAATCATCCATTTGACAAATATGTTCGAATTAAAGACCATTTATCTGTAAATATGTCAGTTTTCATCTGCAGTCGGGCCGTTATCTGTTCCATCTGATATACGTCCCTTAACCTGCTTTTCCACTCAGTGATGGTGGGGGGCTGCGGTCTGAGCCAGGAGACCGTTATCGTTTTCTTTGCTATCAGAAGTAGAATCCTCAGTAGATAAAATTCACATTTTGATTTGATTTCCTTTTTAAATATTCCCAATAATGCTGAGGTTGGTTCCAGTATTATTTTTATGTGCAGACATTTTTCAATTTCACATTGTATGGCTTTCCAGAAGTTTGATAACCTTGGGCAATCCCAAAATATGTGCGTATGGTCTCCAACAAGACCGCAGCCCCTCCAACACTTGTCCGAGGTTTTACCAAATTTAGATGTGATAAAGGGGGTTCTAAAAAATCAGATTTTAGTTTTCCACTCAAACTCCCTTAATACTGGACTATTAGTTATTTTATATCCTTCCTGAAGCGACTCTTCCCAGTCCTCATCTGCAATTATTGTATTCATTTCTAATTCCCATTTACCTTTGATGTGCAGTGTATTTTCACTGACACCCTCCTGCAATAACTTATAAACATGAGATATAATTTTAGAGGTAATTCTCCTTTTTATCACAGCTAATAAAAAGCATTCCATGTCCGAGGGTGTATTTTGCAGGTGGTCTAGAATATTATTTTTGCTAATATAATGTCTTAGTTGTAAATATTTATAGAAGTCTCCATTTGGTAGGTTATATATTTGTTTGAGCTGCTGAAAAGACATCAGTCTCCCATTTTCAGACACTTGACTCAACTTAATTAGGCCTTTTCCGACCCAGTTACTAAAATTTGGTGCAGGAGGGAACTCAGGATTATGATGTATTTGTATCAATCTACAGATTAGACTGGGGAGGTTCAGCGTTTTTCTTACACTTGACCATATTGACAGCGTATTCTTTACCATTTCATTTGTAATTTTTTTCTTGGACCATAAATCCAGACCCACAAAAGGCAAAGTATCAAGTGCTACATTCGTACAATCCCCTTGTTCCATAGAATACCAGATGGTTTCCTCTTCCCGAGAGATCCATGTGGTCATTGATTTAAGCTGAGCCGCCAGATAGTAATTTCTTAGGTTTGGAATATTCAGTCCTCCCATCCTTTTAGAGCACATTAGTGTTTTAAGTTTAATTCTTGGACGTTTATTCTGCCAGATGAATTTCGAGAGCCACTTATTAAGGATTGTGAATGTAGCCATTGGCACCTTTATCGGCAGTGACTGGAACAAAAATAACAATCTCGGTAACACATTCATTCTAATAGTTTCCACTCTTCCTACAAGAGAGAGAGGCAGTATTTCCCATCTAGCAAAATCTCTTTTGAGATCATCCATCAGTTTCCCATAGTTTGGTTTAAACAGTTGTGCAATTTGTGGAGTGATCATAATTCCCAGATATCTGAATCCTTGATTACTCATCCGAAATGCAAACCTACTCGTCAGATTTGCAGGCCACTGCCCCTTTAACATCATAGCTTCCGATTTCGATTGATTTATTTGGTAGCCAGACAACTTGCCATATTCCTGTAAAGACTCCATGAGTGCTGGAATGGACGCCGCTGGATCACTAATATATGTTAAAATATCGTCTGCAAAAAGTGAGACTTTGTGTTCCTTTCGATTTTTGTCTTTGATGCCTTTAATATTATTATTATTCCTGATTAATGCAGCGAGGGGTTCAATATTAATTGCAAATAGCAGGGGGCTGAGGCAGTCACCCTGACGGACTCCTCTCTCCAAATAGAAGTAATCCGAGCAGCATCCATTAACCCGAACACACGATTTAGGATTCATATATATCACTTTTATCCACTCCACAAATTGTGAATGAAAGCCCATTGCTGAAAGGGTACTGTACAGAAAGTGCCAACTGACAGTATCGAATGCCTTTTGTGCGTCAAAACTGATTAACATAGAGCTATTAGTGTTATTTTGTGCTTGTGTTATAACATTCAATGTTCTCCTTATATTATTAGCACTATGCCGACTTGGTATAAATCCTGTCTGATCTGGTTTAATTAATTTCTTTATATTTTTTTGTATTCTTTTAGCTAATATATTTGTTAATAATTTTAGATCATTGCATAATAGACTTATTGGTCTGTATCCTTCACAAAGCACAGGATCCTTTCCTTCCTTATGAATGACCGAAATGATGGCTTCAGACCATGAGTCTGACACGTCACCCTTTGCAAGAGCATAGTTGAAGACTCTGGTCAATAACGGAGCTAGCTCATCCACAAAGCACTTATAAAACTCTCCAGGGAGTCCATCAGTACCGGGTGATTTATTATTTTTTAACTTTTTAATTGTCTCCCTAATTTCAGATTCTGTTATGTTTGAAACCATATCGGAGGATTCCTCTTCTGATAATTTAGGCAAATTTAGGTGATTTAAAAATAATTTACTTTCCTGCTGGAGCTCATCATTCATCACGTTTGGCTCTTCATAAAGTTTCTTATAAAACGATGCAAATGCATCGGCTATTTCTTTAGGTTGATGAACAATTGCTTTGTTTGTGGGATTAGTTATTTTAGGAATCATCCTGTCAGTCTGTGCTTTACGAAGTTGAAAAGCCAGAAGACGACTAGCTCTACCACCCATCTCATAGTATCGTTGTCTTGAGAATCTAAGAGCCCCTTCGGCTTTTTAAGTAAGAATTGTATCCAGTCGTCCTCTGGCTTCTTTTAGTCTCATCAATGTATTATTTTCACCTGTATTTTTATGTTCAGCCTCTAAGAGTTTTATTTTTTGTTCGAGAATGGTCTGTTGTTTTATTCTGGTTCTCTTCAATCGGGATGATATTTGAATCATTTTCCCCCTAATTACAGCTTTGGCTCCACTCCACAAAATTGAGGGAGTAACCTCTCCAGTATCATTAGTTTCTAAATAATCTTTCAATGTTTTTTTTAGTTCTTGGATTACCTCTATGTTAGTTAGTAATGATACATTTAATCTCCAATATTTGAAAAAACTATCTTTACATAAGTCCAGATGCATAATTACTGGGGCATGGTCACTCAGTGTTATTGTTTCAATGTTGCAATCAGTTATTTTGTGCATATGTTGTTTTGACACACAAAAGAAATCTATTCTTGAATAGCTATTATGAACATTTGAGAAGAACGTGTAATCTTTCATGCTTGGATTTTTGTTTCTCCATGGGTCTCCCAGGCCGAGTTCAGTGATCATGTTATTGAGCATTTTTGTTTTTATAGTTTCCGGACCAATTTCTGCTGGTGTTCTATCAAGTTTGCCATCTTGGACAGCATTGAAATCTCCTCCAATTATCACAATTCCCTTAGCCTTCTCCGCCACAACATTTGCTATGTCCTTGAAAAATGATACATTATATTCATTCGGAGCATACAGATTCATAATGGATAATTCCTCATCTCCTACTCGTCCTACTATCATAACATATCTACCGAATTTATCTTGTATTACATTGTCAGCAGAGAATGCCAGGGATCTGCATATTAGAATAGCCACACCTCTTCTTTTCCCAAATGATGAACTGTATGCTTGGTTTACCCATTCTCTTTTTAGTTTTTTATGTTCCACATCATTCAAATGGGTTTCTTGTAAAAGGGCAATAGAACATTGCATCTTTTTTAATTGACTTAATATCTTTTTCCTCTTTATGGGATGATTCAAGCCATGGACATTATATGAGACAATTTTTAGACTCCTCATTGAGTTAAGAGGCATTCTTGCATTTACTTATATACAACATTATAGAACATGTACCCATCTCTCTGTAATTGCACTTTTTGTATTTCAGAAACATACCTTTTACACCAATTAGAACATACATTATGAACAAGATAAACAAACTTCCAAACTTTGAACTGTCCAAACGAGCTTCCTCAAACTCGGTCGCTATGGAGACGGAGGGGCGTGACGAAACTCCTCCGTCTGGTACACCCAGTGGTGTAGTGGCAACAGTCATACCGCACAAGGCCGCATGTAAAGTTGCCTCTGCAAAAAATAAACTAAAAAAGACATAACTCAACATGAAAGTCATCCCACCTTCCCCTGGGCAGGATAAAGTCCCTTGAACTTATTATTATGAGCATCATTATTGTCACTAGCCTTGTGTATCCCTTGTTTTGATAGTTACCAGTCAATTCCACGAAAATATCAGCTACACGTCTTCTCGCAGAAGCAGGTCCAGGTCCGCACTGGCCATCGTTGTGTTCCCAGGATCCTTTGATCTCGTGGTCCATGTGTTGTTGTGAAGTAGGTCTTCCCGACGCATCTCTCTCTCACTTATGTTCACCTTTATTCCCAACTGCTTGAGGGTTGGTGCTGCCTGTGCGAGTGTAGAGAACGTCTTCACTCCCGAATCCATTTGGATTTTCAGCTGAGCAGGAAACGGCGAAACAGCTCTCATCTTCCTCTCTTTAAGTTGTTTAATCACCTCTCTCACTTGTTTGCGTTTCTTTTGAATATCAGCGGTGTAATCCTGGTCAAAAAACACCTTCTGGTCCTGATATGTGATCCCGCGGGTTTTCCACGCTTCTTGTAGAACTCGATCTTTCACTCTGTAGTCCAAGAATCTGACTATAATGGACCGTGGTGGCGCGTCTTCTCTCGGCTTCATAGTTAGTGAGCGGTGCGCCCTCTCTACGCCAAGATCCAGATCTTGTGGTAATTTCAGTGTGTTGCGAATCATACCTGTGATAAAGCGAATCATGTCGTTTTTCTCTTCCCCCTCGCGCACCCCGAATATGCGCAGGTTGTTGCGCCTGGATCTGGATTCGAGGTCCTCGCACTTAGCTGAAAGCTTAGCTTCTCTTTGTAGCATGTAGCGTATAGCTCTGTCATGGCGCTGAAGCTGGTCCTCATTGTCACTCACCCTCTCCTTAATATCAGTCATTTCCTGTTCGAGTTTGGCCGTCCGTTCGACGACTTCTTTCAGGGTGTTTTCAACACGGACAAGAGTGGCCTTGGTATCGTTAGAGGCATCCGTATGCTCTTTTCTGAAGCTCTTTAGCTCTGCTAGCAGAGATGCCATGCTGCCTTCGGGTTCACTGGCTTCCACAGTTGCTTCCTCGAATTGTTCGCGTTTATCATCTTTTTTGGTTGACCTTGTTTCTTTACGCGGGCCCAACATGTCCTGGCACAACTATTAGGCACAGAAGCGCCCTCGTTTGCAAATTCTTGGCTAGTTTAAGGGGACTCTATCGTAAGCCCAGATTTCAAGCTGCTTCTCCTCTCATGACGTCACCCGGAAGTCTCACAATAGCCTTTTTTAAATGCTTTATATAATATGATTGGCTCTAAATGTGGGGATTTGACTAGATTCTACGGTACCTATAACTCTTCCTCTACCGTTATTTATGAGGGAATAGCAGTTCTCGTCCAAATCAATTAATATTTCAAGAAAACATGATTGACAATGAGTTACTGATGAACAGTCCAAGACACATTAAAAATGTTACATTGGATGTAAATACTTAAAAAGAAACGTCTGTTCATCAAGGAGGAACTTTTTATCTCCGAGGTAAAAGCTATCATCAATGCCGCACAAAAATTTAAAAATATTTACACTAAAGACAGGCCAATAACTTTTTTAAAGCATGTTCATTAAAAAAAGTTTGAGTATGCGTCATCAACTTGAAGACAAAAATGCCTACTGCGAAGGAACACTGAAGTATTATTTAGTGAAGACTTTACATCCAGTACAAAAGTTGTGCCCGTCTTGTGACTGTCCATCAGTAACTCATTGTCCGCCATATAATTCAGAGCTTGTGTTATGACAGACTGTTGGGCCACATTTACAAATGCGCCTCACGTAGGCTAAAGTCCTGTAAAGTCAGGATTTTTGGAAGAAAATTCTGACTTTAGGTTTTTTTATGACTGTCCAATGCATCAATACTAGTGTCATCTTGATTGCTGATTCAATTACCATTCAATTTATGTATATCTGCTGTTAGGCAGGTACGTTCTGTAAGCTGTGTAGAATTGACACCTGTTAATACCATTAGAGGCCAACTTGACAAATTTCAAATCCAGGCCATTGAGTGCAGTAGAATTTTTTTAAATTGTGCTTCTAAATTTTTTCATACATTTTTGAGATACGAGTAAAAAAAAAAAAAAAAAAAAAAAAGTTGATTTCCGGCCTTGCCACCATACCTGATGTTCTTTAATGACTGCATCCACAGGATCTCCAAGGAATAGCATCACTAACTTCAGTATGTATTGCCTTCGTGTACCTGCGTCCAATGTACCGCTCATGGAAGCCTGTAGAAAAAAAAATTTCAAAAGTTTCAAATTTTATTTGGATTGTTTCACTATTTCTTTTTCTTCATCATAACCAATTATATTTAGAAAATTTGGCAAGTATCACAGCTTTAAACTCCTCTCTAAGGCAGCAAAGAGTCAGTTCTATTTTGAGGAATTTTAGCCCTTTAACCCCTTAACACCCACCTGAACTATGAACATTTTCTCCAGTTTGGCTCAGCTCAAATCTAAAAACTTCCGGAAAAAACGTCAAAATGGCAACAAATCGAGAAGAAAATGATGAAAACGCAACAAAAATGTGATGAAAAAGACTAAAATGTGACGAAAAAGAGACAAAATGTGACAAAAATGAAACAGGAAAGCCACAAAAGAGCAACCAAAAAAATGACCAATACAGCAACAACGCAAGGAAAAAAGATCCATTTACATCAGTTTTGTAGGTCTTAGCCTTTGACGTTTGAGTAAATCTTCTCATAAGAAAACGTAATCGGTGTTCAAAATAAAACCCTCGATCTAATACTCATATATATAGTATATATGACGTTGATACACAGATAAATGTATTACAGTAATCCCCAGTAAGGCAGACTTGTACCAAAAACATAGCCTATTACAATAAAACATCTCCAATAGCCTATTTTACGTGCATCTGTGCATACAAAAAAACATTTATTCATTCTACAAGTCTAAATGTACCTTTTAATTACCTTTTACCGCTGAAAAGTGGCACAGTCGTGGGTACAGTCGCGGCACGGTGGCTGAGTGGATAGCACTCTCGCCTCTCAGCAAGAAGGTCCTGGGTTCAAATCCCGGCCGGACCAGGGCCTTTCTGAGTGGAGTTTGCATGTTCTCCCCGTGTCTGTGTAGGTTTCCTCCGGGTACTCCGGTTTCCCCTACCATTAAAAATATGTACAATAGGTCTGGCATGCGCCTCCTGTTCGGCGACCCCGCTCCCATCTCTGTCTGGAGTGAGAGGACAAGTGCCCAAAAAAAATAATAACAATTGTAAACCGCTTTGTGACCCTTGTCTGTGAAAGGCGGTATATAAATAAACATTACTTACTTACTTACTTACTATGGCCAGGTTTGAAGTCTTGGTCACGTTTGTTGAACGTGGGGGTGGAAGCCTCTGGAGCACATGGTGTGTCATCTTCTGCAGCGTGGTATGGCAGAGTCCAGCGCTGTTATTTTCAGTGCTGCCCCCTGTGTTGGAGGGCTGACTTGGTACAGCGCATGCGCTAGATGAGCTCAACGAAGAATTGTTCGTTTGATCAATTAACTTTTATAAATTATTACCGATTTGAAATGGACAACTAAATGAACAAACATTTCTTTATCAACACGCAATGTTCAATCTGTATGGTTTTAATTGTAAAGACCAATTTGATTGTCTTTATTTAAAACAATGGCAAAGAACATATTGAATGAACAACAGCACTGTTTTACTTTTTTCAGTGTAAAAGCCAACTCTGTGACATGAGCAATAGAGCTCTATTACAGCAGAACTCCGCCTCCGCCTCCTGCTGAGAACTCCGCCTCCTACTGAGAGCTCTGCTTCCTGCTGAGAACTCCACCTCCTACTGAGAGCTCTGCTTCCTGCTGAGAACTCCGCCTCCTACTGAGAGCTCTGCTTCCTGCGGAGAACTCCGCCTCCTACTGAGAGCTCTGCTTCCTGCTGAGAACTCCGCCTCCTACTGAGAGCTCTGCTTCCTGCGGAGAACTCCGCCTCCTACTGAGAGCTCTGCTTCCTGCTGAGAACTCCGCCTCCTACTGAGAGCTCTGCTTCCTGCTGAGAACTCCGCCTCCTACTGAGAGCTCTGCTTCCTGCTGAGAACTCCGCCTCCTACTGAGAGCTCTGCTTCCTGCTGAGAACTCCGCATCCTACTGAGAGCTCTACTTCCTGCTGAGAGCTCTGCCCCGTAAAGAACTTGGACAGTGAACGTTCGTCATCGGTCATAATCAAAATTGTGTTGTGTCAACCTCTCGCTTTGTTTGCGGAGCTGGACACAAAGGGGGGGGGGGTTGTAGGATAAATTAAAATGACCTCTTTCCTCAATCAAAGACATTTTGTTGTATATTGAGACATATTATAACTTCCGTCTCCACTGTGTGTAAATCCTTCAGGTTTTATTGTGGGCAAGAATGTCTTAAGATAAGTGCCATGGCAACACCCTTCCCCCAACAACTCTAAAACAAGGGAAGACAAACCAGTCTGCTTTGGAACCACGGAGTGACCAGACCTCCCTGGGCTCTGCCCTGGGCTCTGCTCAGGAAACCAAGGGGCCTTGGGCCTCTTAGATGGCCTCAAACCTCAGCTCCACGTTTGAGAGGACTTCCACAACCCTTCAATAGCCTCCAGCTTCAACCTGAAGAAGTTGCTGAGTTTTGGCACCTAGACTGTGGATCGTGGGAGGACTTGGTTCAGCCACATGATGCAGCCGCATGGTCCAGGCCCCGTGGACAAGAAGCCTCCATCCACCACCATCAGACCCAAGGACTGCTATTCACCCAAGGCTATTCTGGTTGTATGATCTGCGCTCTTGCTACACACAGCTGTTGGCTTTATTAAAACCTATACTTCAAAGAATACTTCTCTTACCAAGGCTGAACACATGCAGGCCTCAGCCTATACCAATCCATTCATAGACAAAGGTCTTGCTTAGCTCACTTTAGCCTAGCATTTTAACAATGTATCTTGAAATCAACGTTTCCTTCATGTTATTCTTGACAATTTGCATATTTCATATCTAGTCTGTATTGTGTATACTTAATTAAATCTACAAAACCATCTTTGTCTGAAAGTGATATTTGTACTTTTAACTCCAGAAATTGGGTCACTGATTTGTAAAAGAATTCACTACCTTCAGATTCTATTGAAGAGAATTGGACTAACTAGCTAATTAAATAATGAAAGGACTCATGAGATTACTTAATCAATAAATGAGCCAATTAATTGATATTGTGACGTCATATGCACGTTATCAGTTGGGAGTTATTCCCTGGTGCCCCTAAATAAAGCTATTATCAATTATTGTATTTATTACATGGTTGTTTTTATCCAATTCTCCGATATCAGGTACATAACTTAAGTTATGTGTGATATCGACATTTTCTCACCCTACAATGTAATATAAATATAATTGATTGATTGACTGGTGTGGCTGATTCGGCAGCACTCATACCTCAGAGTGAGGAGGTTGTGGGTTCGATTCTATGCTGACCCAGGCCTTTCTGCATCTTTCTTCCTGTGTCTGGGTGAGTTTCCTCCAGGTGCTCTAGTTTTCACTAGCAACTATAACATTATGAAGCAGTATGAATGTGATGAGTGAGTGAATTATGCACAGACGGCTGGCTCGCTTCCACCAGTCTACTACAGGAGTAGTTCACAGAGTGGATAGAGAGCGACTTCAGTGTAGAGTCTGTTCAGCCCTTTCCAAGTGCAAGACATCATAATTATTTGATTTGTAGAATAAGAACATGTTGAATTGAGACATAACTCGTTCAATCGTTGCCAACATATCTCTTAGGAACTAGCATTTGAAAGGTAACCTTCTCCACCAGACCAATGGATAGTTCTTATCCAGCCTGAGGCGTCCTAATCTCCTTTAACACATTAACATTTTAGAGGCAGATTTCTCTTATTCTCTTTCACTGGTCTGGGACAGGACAACCCTGAGCAACAACCCAAAAAAGCTTACTTTGAAACCTTTGGGATAAAAAAACACAAATAATGTAAAACAAGTAATTCTATAAACCACTGCTCTGTTCACACACATTCAATATTGCATGACTTCACATATGTCTCAGAGATTCCACTGATATGTTCAGACAGTTCCTCTTGGAAAGTGAGCTAACGTAAACAGAGCAGGG